TTTGTACAATATATACCAAATAGCACACAATTTTCTTTACAACTCATGCAGTGGCGTAGATCCTTTTCACATAAACTTAGTCTTCTCATTTTCATTACCCACTTACCATTCTTGACCATAAACTTGTGCAGCAGAGATAAGAAGATTTGTACAGCAAAACCGGGACATGATAACAAATAGTGCTCAAAGGGCATATGACTAAAAAATTGACGGTGTTATTTTTTAGTCTAATTGGAAAGATCATTGAAAACTGTAGAGTAACTTCTTTGACAGATTTTTGTTTTTTTGCTTCGTTACTCTACAGCTTTCAATGATCTTTCAAATTAGACTAAAAAATAACACCGTCAATTTTCGATTCATATGTCCTTTAACATTTTCTCTTTCGGAACCACACACATGCATGCACACAAAGCCGCGAGAATTACAGCAATTTATGCTATCTAGATAACCACTTATAGCGCAGTATTCTAATCTCAACATTATACGAAAAACAGAAGCTTTTCTCGGAAGTGAAAAATTAAGCCATTTATCATAATGAAGTGAGTGATAAAGTTTAGTTACTTTAGCTTTAAACTGAATTGTCCTCGCAAGTTGAATTTCTAACATCAAGATCAAAGAGTTTCATAAGGAAATTGTTGAAGGAAAGAAAGGCTTTTTAAAATTTTCAGTACTACCTCTATTTTGATAGGATCAATTTAGGCAAAAGATACGATTTTTCATACACCAATTTAGGCAAAATATGTACTAAATAATGAGCAGTATGTTTGTCAACTATCTTATAGAAATGAGACAATTTATGAATCTTTCTTCTGATGCTCAACTCTTCCCAAGCAAGTTCGTCTTAGTTTGAACTAATACCTGCTATAGCCCCAGTAACGGCTTTAGCTAACTCATATTGAACAGTTTAAAATAATTCACTTTTTCCAGCAGTATACAATTATCCCATATAAGATTACTATACTCCATAATTGGACTTATCAAACTTTTATACAAACAAACAAGTCAGAGTTGACCTATCAGTTTTAAACCTTAATGACTTTAACAAATTTAATCGTTTAGATTGAGGCCTTTTCATAGATTGAAAATATATGACTATTCCATCTCAAACTCATTAATAATTCATGAGCAAATTAGCGAATGAACTCACCCTAATTCGTCACATGATTGAGGTTGGATACCGCAGGAAACACGCTAAAAATCATAAACCATCACTGTAGTTAGATGAAAAACGGTTTTCATCTAATAACTGAGATCCTAATTACAAATTCAAATCAAAACACAACAATATACTATAATAATATATATAAGCCAATGAAATGTTTTCGTTTGAGATGTTGTGTAAACAACTCGTTTCTCGTGTTTCATCAAGGGACCAAACACTCGAAAACAATAAAACACTCGCGCTCGTGTTTTATACAGTTTTCTCGTGTTTGGATCCCCTGATGAAACACTCAAACTCGTTGTTTACATATAACATGAAATACTATTTTGAAGAGTAAGGCCAAGATAGGTATATATCAATTTCTTCGATATCACACCCTCCCATTGACAACACCGGATGGTTTTTATAGCCTTCCTCTCTCATTCGAAAAAGACATCGATCTGGTTTTATGGGGGTTCATTGTCACCAACCACCGATTAGACCACCGAGAAATCTTTGCTAAATCATCATTTAAGAGTTGTCCAGAATCCATTGGATAATCGACAACTTCAAAAAGAGTTGTATCATCAGCAAATATGAACGGACAGGATTCTAAATAATCAGTCAAATCATTTATATAAATTAAAAACAAAATCGGTCCGAGCACCGCTCCTTGCGGAAATTAAACACGGAACCAATATTTTCCCACTCAGAGGACTGCCCGTCTACAACTACACGTTGCCTTCTATTTTCTAAATAAGCTTTCAAACCATTGTAAAAGGGGATTGCGAACTCCTAGTGCTTCGAATTTTTTTAGTAATCCAGTATGCCAAACTTTGTGAAACGCCTGTGATATTGAACAGAAACAAGTGTTATTGAACACGTTAAAAGGCCTTGGACAGGTCTAGGTAGATGGCATCAACAACTTTCCCACCAGCTAAGTGATCTAGGATTTCTTGGTAGACGTGGAGTAGTTAAGTTATCATAGATTTACTCCTAAAGAAACCATGCTGCAGACGCTAGAAACGTGGTGATAGATGGGGATAGCAGTGGTTATATACACAGCGTTCAAACGTTTTTGAGATGATAGATAATAGGGAAATAGGTCTCTATTTAGAAGCGAGCATTGGATCGTTTTTTTTAACACAGTTGCAACGTTTGAGAGCTTCCGCCAAGCAGGAACTACACCCTGGGACAAAGAAAGATTATATATATGACAGAGAGATGGTGCGATTCTGTTAGCCGTCATCTTTAGAAGTTTCCAGGTATCCCACCAGGTCCGCATGCTTTGCTTGGATCCAAACCGTCAAGACCTTAAATTAAAGACTTCGTTTTCTGTTAGTTGGATGTTGATTAAGGTTGTGTCGGAAGACAATTAGCCTGCGTACCAGGCGTTTAGTACGGGCGGGAAAAGAGGAAACGCCTGCTCAAATGGCTATGACAAATTTGTTTTCGCCCATTAAGGATGATTGACGTTTTGTAATTAGCACCTTCACCCATTATCCAATCATAGTCGAGATTTATATTTAGCATCACGAATGCTTTTTACTCGGCAACAAGGGAGATTTGCAGAGATTTTTATGTACTATTGAAAACATCAGCAGCAGTGCTTTATCAGAATAAAAAGATGGTCTGATAAAACACGCACTGCGAATGTTTTAAATTGCTTAAAAAACGATCGATATAGTACAAGTTCATTGGCGAAATAGCTTTCAAAAAATTCGTTGTGTATATAGAGAAAATCAAAGTTAAAGATTATGTAAATCAAGATACACGTTTCTGATTTTTCTTTGTGTTTTTTCCTCATGAATTATTAATGAGTTTTTGAAGCTATTTTAGACAAAAGTTACAACACAGAGCTTTTATCTTTTAAAAGCTAAAGTTCCTGAACCACGGTTGTTTATTTAAACGTATTATGCCGGATAGCAAATTAACTGCAAATAACAATTGAGCATGTTTTGAAATGTTATTCTTAAAATCATCATCCAACCTCATAGCTGCAATGCCAAGTGATATCGCCTCAACTATCTCACTATCTGGCCTAGATCTTGAATTATACTTTAAAGTGAACAGATAACAAGACAACTATAAGGAATATTCGATCCCTGCTCGGGCAAGCTTTGATTTGCCGATTTTCCGTATTCCGTAGGAAGAATCGCGATAACCGGCGTCTTCACCACGTAGCAAATTAATAATAGACTTTCTCTATTCTTGTTTCAACTGAATTTCGAAGCCTAAACACTTGAAATATAAGAGTTCCCTCGAAAGCATTAACAGGCGGCATATTTTCGATACGTGAGCAAAGTTATTGTTGACATTTGAGTTACGTAATTACTTCCGTTAACGACATTGACCAATGGGAAGCTTTTCCGAAGATTCTTCGGAGAAGAACAAATTAATCATAGGCATTTGGACAGGCGCTTATTTAACGACGCCCTCTCTTCTCCCGCCCGCGCTAAACGCCTGCTACACACGCTAGAAGACAATGTGAGATGTTGTATTGATGTTGTAGTGGTAGATTGACCAGGACTAAAGACTGAGTGGAAGAAGGAGTGCAGTAGGTTAGCCTTGTCACTGTCAGTAATAAAAGATTGAGTTCTTTGTACACAGTAAATTTTGAGGGGTAAAAATTACCCTAAAACTGGGCAAATTTTACCCCCTCGACTGTAGTAAATTAATTTGGAGTAAAAATTACTCTCAAAATATGGGCAAAATTCAATTGGCATCGTCATATTGCCCCACGTTGAAAGGGTAGTTGTAAAATCATCACCAACTACCCCCAATAGGGTAAACGGCGGGGTAAAATGTACCCCTAATTACAGGGCAAAGGAACCACGGAAAAGTTACCCCATACGGGTCATAGAGATTATAAATAACACTAGAGGAGGCATCGAGTTTAAAAATTGGGAACACAGCTAATGGGGGACAAATTCAAGTCCCGGATATAAAATCGTGCTCTCATTGGCTGATTTGAAACTCGTCACCAATGGGAACACAAATACACATCCGGGACTTGAATTTGCCCCCCAATAGTCGCGTTCCCTTTTTTTTACTGAATTAAGATTACAATGCCTCCTCTAGTGTTATTTATAATCTCTATGATACGGGTTGGGTAACATGAAAACTTTCAAAATGGCGGATTTTAAAGAGTTAAACTATTATCAATATTTTTATATTATAAACACGAAATTCAATCAACAACGAAAGACAAAACTAAATGCAAATTTTGTTACGGCTTGGTGTATTATTCAAACTGAGAAAAGGTAGGTTAACATTTGTATGTTCAGAAATAGGTAAAATATTACATATTACTTTATTTATAATATTTTACAGTTTACAAACTATTTCGGAGTGCTCCCAAGCTCCCATTTTCTGAACTGAAATGATTTATATTTGACGGTTAGAAAGAGGAGGCTTTATGTTCTTGAACTGCACCATTTTTTTTAAAAAATTGACAAAAAAAGAGAAAATGGATGTCATGATGTGATTAGATGTTACTAGTACTAGCTATAAAATCATATTTTCCTCTGTCTATGCAACTGGGTTTGCAAATTGAAGTGATTATAAGTCCTTAAATTTTGCTGTTGGACTTTTAATTTATTCTAGGATAGTGGAAATATATGTGATTTCATCTAGCAATTTATTTTAAATTTAATTCACATTTAACCACATTTTTACAATTTACAAAAACTCCATACCTCATTTAGCAGGGAAAATGGTCTGTTATGCAATTTATTGCCTTGCATATTTACATGTATGGTTATTGAATAATAAATATATCACAAAAAATTACCATTTATGACTAATAGCCTAAGCCAGAGTCTCTTATAGGTATGATATCAACAATTGACTAAACATGTGTAATTACAAAAATCACTTTTACAATGTTAGATATATACAAAGAGATTTAGTTGAGAGTTACCACTGACATTCACTCTTGCCAACTGAGGCACTATACTTTAGGAAGTTTGGTACCAGTCAGGCTTTTAGCCAGGGTCCTAAAAGAGGGCGTCCAATTTTGGCACAATACATCTACAGTAAAGGGGGGGGGGGTCGAGAAAACGTTCCTCTGGAAAACCTTTGAAGTTTACGTTACTTCATATCACCATCAACTTGATCAAAATGTCAAATGTATAATAATAATAATGAGAATTGAAGCTATTTCGTTTCAGATATATTAAATTAATATACTTAGGGAAATAATTGAAAATAATTTCCCTTTTTCCCCAGAATTTGGGCGTCCATGTTTTGTTCTAGGGGCGTCCCAGGACGCCCTTCTGGCTAAAAGCCTGGTACCAGTCCTGTCCGGCATGTGACAATGAAGGTGGGAATGCTGCCAGGAAATTTTAACCAAAAATCATCGCAAGAAATTTCTATACATCTTGCAGGGAAATATATTTTCCCGGCTTGTTTGGACCATTATACAGTGTTTGTGCTACTAATCCTCCACAAATCCTTAATTATACTCCAGATGGTGATGTTGCTGCCAACACAACACCCTCCTCAACAGTGGCAGACTCTAGGGGGTGGGAGGAGGGCAATCCCCCACCCTTGAAAATCTGAATGATAGCTGAAAACTATTAAACAATGCTGTATTATTAATTTTCAACAACGAGTGCATTGGGGGATGAAAAGTAAGCTACATATTGCATGAAGTCAACTGCAAAAGCTTAAAGAAATAAGATTACCACCAGGGGTGGAAAAAAAATTTTACTTTCTGGGACCGCAAGAAAACATTGAACATTTTCTGTAAATAATCAAGTAAATCGACACTTGGACACTGTAATTGTGTAACACTAACAAGTTGTCAAACTGGATGTCATGCTATATTTCACAGGAAAAAATATTTCACTGGAAATAATATTTCACTAAGAATCTTAAAATATAACATAAATCTAATTTTAGATGGCATGCATCAAGGGTCTGATCCTAAGGGTAAATACAGATGCCAAAAAAGCTAGGGCACTTTTAGGGGACACTATCAGGGAGATCATGCATGCTCCCTCAGAAAATTTTGTCCCAGATCAGCTAAAAATGCATTTGCCATACAACATTTTTTACATCATTCTATAGTCTAATACATTTATACACTATCGCACTATTAAGATGGTTACACTTATAATTGCATTCTGATGTCATGGTGTGAATTTTCCTCTGAATTTCTCTTTTTATTTGAATAATTTATTACAATTTTTCTTTCTTGGGAAAATATTTTCTGGGAACTTAAAAAATTTTCTGGGACCAATGGTCCCGTGGTCCGATACTTTTTCCACCCCTGATTACCACAAATGGCTTACCACAAAAAAGGTCATACCTGTATGTCGTCAATCTTATTAATCCCCTCCCCTAAAAGTGTCTGCCACTGCTTATCAATTAATGACAATATGTATGCCATATAGGTTGATATTTTCTAGAGTTGTTAAACGTGAAAAAATCTGCAACTTAGACACTTGGAATCTGGTACTTCGGGCAAACAAAATGCTTTTCATCTTCTTGGTCCTTGATTGTGATGATATGGAGTGGCAATGGATATACAAGCTCTTGTTGTTTTATAACACTTAAATGTTTGGTGTTATTTACTTCATATGCATTGAAGTGCTTGCTAAATGCTGCTGTATGCAATACCTCAGTTACAAACCATATACCACTTAAGTTGGTTTCTACCACACAGATATCTTTCACCAGTGCAAAGGATGGCATCTCTTTCTCATCAAGCCCAACCCACATCACACATCCAACTTTGTATGTGGTTCCATGTACTGAAATCGATTTTGGCCTTTAAAGAATACAGTGATCATTTAATGTAGTTACATGCATTGCAGTCACACCTCCATGATGAAATCGAACCCAGGAGTTAGGGCAGGTGGGAAATTTGTATTGATTACAATTAGTCTAATTGAGTACATACAATAATCATATAAATTAAGCACGTCACGAGCTTCATTCCTGTGCAATAAACTTACTTTGTGATTTCAGTTATTTCATTTATCTGGTCAACTTTTTGATGCAATTCGTTAAAATATCGAAGATCACCAGCAAAAACTTTGGAACCTGTTTTGAAAACAACAGAAGCACTTTAAATTATTTTTACAAAATTAATAATAAATAAATACAGCACTCAATTGAGTACAGTATATTCACTGCTGCTGGTATATATGTGTATGAATCAAATTTCTACCTGAATGTATTTCTAATCCTTTTTCAAGGAATGAGGACTCATGATTGCCTGTCTGTTGCATGTAACAGAGCCAGTGTTGATGACGCATTGCCAAGGTGTAGGAGAGGTTCTTGTAATTTCCAATGACCGTCGATAGGTGTTTAAAGTAATGATGTTTAGCCTCATAACGCATGCACCAAGCTCGAAGAAGAGGACCATGACTGAAACATAAAGGTACTTGGCATAAGGCTACAACATATTTAACACACGATTGATGGTAGCATGGATGTTTAGTTGACTGTGTATTACCCACGCAAATAATAGCACATGCAAGTCGCCGCTTGTTGAATTTTGAACATGCCAGACCTTAATTCTTAACATTCTGACTTAATTACAGGTTGTTGTATGATCGAATTAAGGAGAGTAAAAATGTGCAACATACCGGAGCATTAGAGTAGGCATGTGAATCATGAAATGCATCTTTGGTATGACCGAGCATTCTGGATAAAGTCTGCAGAATTCCATGTGATGATCCTGGATCAAGATTTGCAGGTACGCCATTTGATCTGCAGATATTGTTGGCGAAAAACATATAGACATTATCTCAAGTAATTTTATGAAAAGGTTCCAGTGAGCATCATCAGTTGGAATCATATCACCAATCATTAGAGGCAAATGGATTCCCAAGCACCACATCTGCACAGCTAGAACAATAGAAATATATATATGTATAAATAAATATCAGTGGCGTAGCTAGCGAAATTCGACAGGTCCTGCTCTAAAACGCACACATTCTAGGGGGGTTCGGGGGCATGCTCCCCCGGAAAATTTTTAATTTTAGAAGTCTGGAATGGCCATTTCCTGCGATTTCACGGCAAAATACTCCAAAGGCAGCATAAAAAAATTAGATACTTTTCTAGAAAAAAATTTGTCACTTTTTGAAATCGTATTTCCATATTTATCATATTTCACTATATATTTTTCAACTTAAAAATTTAGCTAAATATAGTCAAGTCGGTGTAAGAGGAAAATATCATGTTTTCCAATACACGTCTGTAATATGATCTTTCACTTGGTCAACGTGCAATTGCGTAACTGAACAATTGTTGTAGCGCCTGTTGAATATACACTACAATGACTACATATACGGCTAGCATTCGTTAAAAAATTACTACGTTTGTTAGTAATGTTTAATAAACCTTAAACGGAGTGGTATCAACTACGGACCACTACGCTTGGTACGCTGATTGTATAATTCCATACGCTATGCATATGGCTATGGTATTTAAAAATAATAAAATTGCCGTAGCGTTTAAAGTAAATAATTATAGTGTATTAAAATGCGGCCAAATATCTACATAAATAACATAAACTTTGTAAATCTAAATTGTAGCTATATCATTTTTAAACTCCATATAAGCGCTCGTGTTTCATGCCTCGTTTCATGCAATGGCAGCAATGCATAAAGCAGATGAACTGCCAAATATAAATACGTTCATACTTTATATCAAAATACGACACAAAATACACGATCGAGTCTGTTGACGTGCATTTCGTGAGCTAAGATATCTTAGCAGAAGCCAGAAATTATATCCAAATCACAATGGGCTTTCACGCTGGTTGATTTCCATATTCATCACTTGAGTAATCTTGACAAAGTTAGTAAAAAGTGGGTTTAATCACGCGGAAAGCTCGCAAGTAAAGACAATACAAGGCCAAGTCCTGCCATTTCGAGAGAGCAGGACTTCGCATTTGTAAACAGCCGGTTTGAGCATGCGCAGATCTAATTACCCAATCAGAAAGCAAGATTTCTTGTATGAATTTACTATGAAATATACTAGCAAGTCCTGCCATTTTCAAATGGCAGGACTGAAACACGAGCTCGTGTAAATCAATATATTGCCCGGAAATGAGCTTTTATAGAGTTGCAGTTGCTAGGTAACAGACACGGCAAGCTGTAAAATTGCGTAAATGTAATAGAATACGGAAAACTTTTAAAAAATAATAACGAAAAAGACGAGAAAATCATACAAAATAACAGTATAATAATAACATATTTTTAAAGCTTCAAGGTAAATAAAGTAATATTTTAGTAAGAAAATTTGGGGAAATTTTTAGTCCTGCCGGGCAGGACAAGCAGGACCGCTAGCTACGCCACTGATGAATATATATTAAATATAAGTTGCCTACAGTGCTATACCCTAAAAGTAAATACAATTAGCTGGTGCTAGATAGTTAAATAAGTCTCATTCAACCATAGAGCTTCACATGGTAACTGGTTAACTCTTACCGTGTTGCCTTAAACTGTTATCGGCTGATGATAACTTCAATTCAGTAATTTGAGATGGCCTGTTCTTTTCATTATAATACCCAAAATCATAGCTGGCAATTTGATGGTTGAGATGTTCTAGTGTAAAAAGATGTTCTACTTTGATATAATGTTTCAACAGTTCCTTGACTTCATACTGCAAAACTCCCTCCAATATGTCATGCATAATGTCTGCTGGTAGACCTCCAATAACATGGTAATATTTGCTTTCGTTAAGAACTGGTTTGCGATTAATGCCATATGTTTTACTGAAGTGTTCTCCATGTGTCAAAACTTCATCACATTGCTTATCATGGCCATCTTTTGTTCTCAAAACAAAGTCGTTCTCATGAAACTGCAATTAAAGATTAAGAAAACAAACAACATTAGGATTTTTACATCATAGAAGAAGGGGTCGTATGCATATAATATTTTCATGCACTTTCTGCAAGAACCAGTCTTGCAACTTCTTTGACTTTTGTTTAAAAAAAATCAATAAAACATTGGTACATAAATATATTTATATATTGTAATTATTATTTTATGAGGTTTTTGTGATATACTGTGTGGAATTATCGAGGTTGAGGAAATGAGGGGTATGAGATAATAGCATTAAAAGTAGACAAAGCTTTTACCAACTTGATATTTTGCATACGGTAACCATACAATATTACAAAATTCGTATTAATAAACACATATCAATAACTTCCTTTATGAAGTTTAGATTGAAATCAAAGTTACATAGTCCAAAGGCCCATACATGCCTCTGGCATGTAATAACTTAACAATAGACATATTTATCCAACCTACCAGGTATATGTGGGTGGTGGATAACTGAATTGCCTGTAAGCTGCATAATTGACCTATTTGGACAGACCTTCTACATGTAGGTAATCAAAATCCTTATTGATGCAGTGGCGTAGCCAGGGGGGCCCACCCAATCGCAAAAAAAATTATCTGAAAAAGGCTAAATCCGTAGAGAAATTGGGGGGGGGGGTTACACGTTACATCCTTGAAGCTGAAACTGATTAAGTACGCCTCGACTGAGGAAAACGAAGATATACTGGAGGAACTTGATTTGTAAAATCTCGCGTTAAAGCAGTTGTAGATATATGGTTCCAAGAAGAATAGATTTAGTTTAGATTTACATGTATGCATTATCATAGCATGAATATTCTTCTCAGACTTATCCTGTATCGCATAAAAAAGCAACGCAATTTTGACAATGCGGAAATTCTGTCTCATAGAACCTAGAATGATTTAAATGCAACATTTCTGTTCAAAATCACATTGGGATTTTCTTCCCCCAGCATCAAAGAGGGGAAATAAGGTGACGCTGACCGGCTCCTCCTGTTTTTCAAGGCGACTTTTCCAATTTATTTAATTCCGAGTAGAAAATTGGAAATGTCTGGGAAACTTTATGTCTTCGATGTACTTTATAATCTTCGGAATTCTGCAAGATTTCACCCCCAAAATGCTTGAAATCGCATATATTTTCAGGAATTCTAGATCCCAAAATTTTCCCGGGGGTTCATGCCCCTGGACCCCGTAGATGTCTCACACGTTCGCTTCACCCCCCCCCCCAAAAAAAAATAAATAAATAAAAATGAAGGTCTGGCTACGCCACTGTATTGATGCACATACCAATAGAGAGCGTAAAAGTGAACAGAGAACTTTGACAACATGTATATAGAAAAATTTTGGCATAGTATATACTTTAGATTTTATCATTGGTGGACATCCTACAAATAAAGTTATCAGCATCATTAGCCTTTCGTACAGTTTATACCTTAGACTTCATTTCATCCAGAGTGCCAAGGCAGTATCGACATGGCCGGTGAGCACTACAGCTCTCTTTGAACCCACCCAAGGCTTGTGCACCAAGGTTATCAGCTGATGTATAGGCTATACTTCCATGAATGGTTCTCTGCTGTCCATTCACAACAAGAGAATGGCCTGTGTCCTAGACACAAAAAGAAGTATAATTATAAACATATCTTATTCATATCTTATTCATGTGGAATAATTAATATGCAATATAATAATCAAAAAGATTCACAGCTGTATATAGAGGGCACTTAAACATTATTACCTGAATGACCTTAATTGGAATGGTCATATTTATAAAATTATCATTCATCCTGAGGAGGACCTTTAATTAATGTCATTGACAGTATATCATATAATGGCAAAATTGTCATGATCTTGGAAATCTATTCCAGATATTCCCATGCAATTATAATCTTAATTGCAAGCTTGCATATGTTAGCAAGACTGGAAACACTACATTACATAATCACCTGTTCAAGTTTTCTTACTGCAGAACTGCATCAATCCCATACTTCTTGATGTACAAAGTCTTGCATAAACAGAGGAGCTGGATTGACTTTAAAGATGATCTGTATAATGGCCGGACGTTGCCCAATGTGTAGTAAAATGCTCCTGAAATATTACACAGTAGCTCAAAATTATACAACAGTATTTTATTATGTAGTGTACAAAGCATAATTTATGCAGGGTGTATGAAAAAGTTTGTACTTTTTCATACACTCTGTACAAAAGTAAACTATTTTCAAACAGTTATTTTTCTAATGTGCAAGGGTGCCTGATTTTAATAACTATAAGCAGACAAATGTAAAAATAGAAATTAGACAGACAGACGGACAAAGATACTTACTAGATAGATAGAAAGATTACAGTACCTAGTTTGTGTTTATTTACTCTGGATCCAAGAACATTACATGTCTCCAAGTCATCATAATAAAGCATAATCTGCAAGGCTGTCGGTTTCAATGAAAAGAGAGGATGTGTCTTGTAGTTTTCACCATCACAATAATCTTTAATTAATCCATCTGTGCTTATGTGAGGACTCTCAATCTTGAATAATAATAATAATAACATGTATTTCTATAGTGCCATTTCCCACAGCTCAATGGCGCTTTACAATATTTAGAAAATTTTAAAATTTTAGCACTATTTACAACAATCCTTTTAAAATTTTGTATATTTACCTTTACCATATAAGAGTAAAAAAGTCAATTAGATAAAAAAGTTAAATAGTTAGATGCAACTAATAATATTTAAAATTGGCAAAACTACAGACTTGTGCAGTGTTCAATTACTTATAGAAATTTCTAAATAAATATGTCTTCAATTTTGTTTTAAAAGTAGATATGGATCCACTATGGCATACTGAATCTGGAAGTTCATTCCATAGTTTTGGCGCGGCATATGAAAATGATCTTTGACCATAGTTGACCAACTTTATGGGTGGTACTGAGAGAAATCCTTTCATCAATGAAAGTAGATTCATTGTTGATTTGAGCTGCTGTAGCATATCCCCAATATAACTTGGTGCGAGACCGTTTATAGCCTTGTAAGTGATGAGAAGTATGTTGTAAATCATACATTGGCTAACGGGAAGCCAGTGTAGCTCTTTCATAACAGGGGTAATATGATCGAATTTTCTACGTCTTGCTATATACAATAATAATATACATATAATATACAAAGTACATCAGGTCATAAAGGTTACCAACTAAGTTTAAGTATATGAGTTCACTACAAATTAGCATTTTGCAGCTACTTTTATGAAAGCAACACAAAAATACCAAATGAATACTTTACTACAGTATACTTTAGCGCAACGGGTCATTCCAGAAAACATGCATACCACCCCCATGGAGGATATAGGAAGTTAATCCCCCTACCCCCTTCGGATGTCCTAATTAATACATTTACTATTCTCAGAAACAATTTTTTCTCCCCTCCCCCTCCAGACGGCAGAAATTTCCTCCGTGGGGGAAGTATGGATCTTTTCTGGAACGACCCAATGTCTTTTAATTGTTTTCAACTACCTCATTAAGAATGAATTCATCACTCAATAGATTTTTGAGGCTTTCAAGCAATGGTATGTAATGTGCTTCATCATTTGATTGTACTTGACGTATAATACCATTTTTTCTTCGGAACACCTCTGTTTGCCCAAGAATGATTCTCTTTGGTTCCTGTAAGCACATTAATATGCAGTATAGTTGCAACATAATGCTTATATAACCCTTAAAATTACCCACCCCTAACCAGTTTTGCAGTACAAGTATCTGTAGATATACAGCCTACTTATAAATAACTGGGTGCATTCATGAAGCTGCATGTAGCAATTATTGAAAATCAATATTAAAGTGTCCAATTAATAGGACGACCTTGAGAAACAGAGGTTGTATTTATCATCCCTCCCCCAAACACATAAAGTTTGGTCAGACGAGGATGAGAGTTGGTGATCGAGAGTTGCAACTCTTGCTAGTGTTTGACTGCCAACTCTCATCAACTCCCCATCAACTTTAAAACGGTTCAAATCTTGATGAGGTTTGCACTTTGTAAGGGACGGACCATTAGAAAAGTGATGGGGGGGGGGGGGATTTTCTAAGAGGCAATATTTTTTTTGTACACCTATAGAAGAAATTTTTTTTTTCTCACTTGATGGTTGGAAATATTTTTTTTTAAAGGGGCCCTACAGTAATTTTTAGTCAAGTAAGTATTGTTTACATTTTTTTGTTATTGTCGCTACTTGACATGCGCACCACAGTATGCATGCGTTTTCTGGTGTGCAAAAGTACTCATACTCATGGATACTGCATGTAAGACACAGCCAAACGAATCTCCGTGGAGTTCCCTACTTAAGGTGGCTTTCGACTAAAAAATGACTGTAGGGCCCCTTTAAGTGAAATTTATAGGCCTATTAGTGGTGTAGTCCTGGAATGTTAACAAGGGGAACTCTCCAAAGTGCCCTGAATTGGCGGGAGGGGAGGGGAGGTACAATAAGATATTTTGGAAATTCTAAATTTGGTTGGGGTTTATTCTAGTAATTCTGGGACAAACATTTGACGTTATTCTTATTAAAAACAAGCCGAAGGAAATTTTTAAATTTAGAGTCTCTGAAATGCCATTTCCTGGACTTTGGGGAAGATTTGACAGAATTCTGATGGTCAGAAAACAGCGTTTTATTTTAGTATGTCGAAATTTACAATTTAGTGGTACTAAATGATATAAAGATTACAAAAATGGCGATATAAAGATTACAAAAATCATTATTGTGTTAAATGATGCGTGAAAATGAGATGCAATTCTAAAGAACATTCTCGTTTACTGAACATTTTTCAGAGAACTAGCCACTTTCTGTAAGATGTCCGCTGTCAATACGAACCCACACAAGTGGGAGAAATTTTGCTAAATTTGACCAACGTGCAGCCCCCAAGTCTACATGAAATTACAACAAGGGGGCTCAGCCCCCCTGAGCCCTCCCTCCAGTACACCACTTGGCCCATCTTCTAAGCAAGGATTTTTTTTTTTTGCACTGCCTGGAAAGATTTTATTTTTTCTTAATTTTTTTCTGGGAATAATTTTTTGTTTTGTTCCCCCCCCCCCATCACTTTTCTAATGGTCCGTCCCTAATAACAGGCTCAGCAAAATAGTACAAAGTGGACCAGTAAACAAGCGCAGTCAACAGAATTTACTATTTACAAACTTTAACAATGCCAGTATCAAGCCACCCTGACTTGTTACAAAAACCAAAAGAACAGGTTTAATACATCCCTCATTAATAATATTATTAATATTATACTTATCTAGTATCTTACCTTCAATTGAAACTCAGTCTTAAAGTAGGCAAGCTGTTGCGTTGTGGTTTCTAAGTTGTGAAATGGATTGGTTGCAACATTGTCTTCTCCAAAAATTTCTTTGAGCTTCGCGATAGTTTGTTGATCAATATTAGATTCCCTGAGGCAACTTTCAACTTGCATTTCCACTGTGGATATCGCCTGCCGTACAATACCCGTGGTATTCGCAATTATTTTTTCAACCGCTGAATGTGTCAGCGAGCACTGTTCTTGTATCTTTAATATATATAATGCAGCCGATCTTGCATTGTCTTCGGTATTAAGTTCATCTCGGTTTATGTGTCGATTTTGGTCTTGATTCAAAGCATCTTCATTGCCTTCGGGCTCGGGTTGACTGGATTGTTCGGCATGATTTCGTGTAAGATGTTTTCTCCACGAAAAATACTTTTTAAATGATGTCGTGCAACCATCGAGACCACACACTATATGAAAATTGGGGTCATTTCCATGACACCTGCCAATGTGATTTACAAGTCTTTCCCTAGTATCTGCAGTGAACTCACCGCAGATACTACATTGCCAGGGCATAACTCGATATTATTATGATTAAAAGAGCACATAATACAGAATACTACAGTATTTATTATTGTATTTATTCTCTGATAAGTAACTGTCCTGACAAGAGGTTGCGGCCGTGGCATCGACTAAAGTCCTGGGAACGAGGATTAGATGTCATGTGATAAAAATATGGCCAATGGGGACGCGGGATTTTTGGCGCGAAGGCACCTGGCAGGAACCTCGACCTCAGGCAAAGAGCTTCGGTGGAAGGAAAAAGACAACAGAGCTTTGCGTTGTTTTTTTTCTCACAAAAAGCAAGGTTAGTCGCGTCAATGTGATTTTATATGAATATAATGTTCACGCAAACTATTGTAGCTCGCCTGGGTACCTTTTGTTTTGTTTTTTTCTGTTCTACATTGTCCTGTAGTAAAAATATTTTAACAGACATTCGGGAACATTTATAGTCTAGGTTTAAGTTAAAAAAAGCATATCTTTTTTAAAACAGGATGGAAGTTAAACTACGAAACAAATTTTTGAAAGAAGGTCTTGAAGGAAACGTGATAGCTATTTTGGAGGAACAGAAGGTATATTTTTTGTTGAAAAAATTCACAGACGGAACAAAAATTCTGTCTGTGAATTTTTTTCATATTGTAAAAAAATTAAAATGGCGGCCAGGTCCAGTGCTTCCACAACCGCTTGTTCAAAATTCCTTGTTTCCCACAAAATTTCCTTGCCATCTAAACGGTGGAAAAAAAACAAGAAAATTCAGGCAAATGTATCATAGACCCTATGAGAAATCGAGCCTCATTACATTGCCTGAAAATTTGGGCAAGCTTTCAAGAGTTCCCTCCATGAAAGTATCTGCTCCACATATATGTTTATGTTTGTCCAGGGGCATAAGGTGCTTGATAATGGTGGAGGGGTTCAGGGTTGAATGGCAGAAGGAGCCTAAACGGCAAATTTTAAAATTTATAGTCCCTAGATTGCCGGAAATGGCATTTTCAGATTCTTCTGTACCTCTTGTTAGACCTATACTATTTATAAGTCTATTTTTACTGGCTTAAGACTTGTAACTGGTATAAGTTACAGAAATCCTTGCAATTTCCTTTAATTTTTGTATTTTTCCTTGCCATTTCCTTGTAAATTTTATTTCCTTGTAAATTCCTTGCAAGGACCAATATTTCCTTGCTGCAGGGAAAAATCCTTGTGTGTGGAGGCACTGAGCACGACGTGCGGCAAAATTTAACAGGAAAAGTTTTTAAGTTCATAGCAAAATTTAACAGGAAAAGTTTTTAGGTTCATAGGCCTTAGTGTGTGGTATTTTAGACTATGGGCAAACAAACATTATGTATTTTGGTAGTCCAAGAAATGCTATTTCATCATGAATCAGAATAAATAATTATGTTTCCCAATGTGGGCAAACTAGGAAAATTATTGTATAGAATGAATATGGGATTTAACTTAATTTAAGGATTAATATATAAATATTTAATTTCTTTGTACAGCTGATTGAACCTTATGTACTACAGGAAGTTGAACCCAGTGTTTTAATGCTTTGTGGAATTAAAGCCGGGGATGCCCTTAAGGTTAAGAAAGTCAGCAAAAATTTCTTATCAGGAGAGGATGGTGATGGATATATGGTAAAGTATACAATCATGTAATCCATTTATGAGTTTATTTGCTGCATTTTTCATATACCTGTATATGTTTCAATGGTTGTTTCTATTTTCAGACTTTTGTATTATATCGTAACCAAAAGCTTAATCCCAGCCCTTAACCCTAATTAATCCTAACCCTAATCCTACTTCCAAAAATCGAAAATAGTACCAGCCCCTAAATCGTGACTCATACACAGCCAGAAATCTCACAGGCCTGTCGCAAGCTGTTGATTTTACCGGCTTGCGGCAAGTTGTCAACAAGTCGCGACAAGTCTGTTGGTTTTGTCAGGCGGTAACAGCCTTGCGGGAACAGGTCTGTCACAAGCTGTTGACAACAAAGCCGTAGCGACTTGTTGAAACAACCTGTTACTAACAAGAGATAACTGATCTGATAGAACAACTTGCAGTAAGTTTGTTGAAATCAACAGGTCTGTTACAACCAGGCTTTTAGCCAGTGTTCTAAAAGGGGTGTCCAATTTTGCTACATTGATACATCTACAGTAAGGGGGGGGGGGTCGAGAAAACGTTCCTCTGGAAAACCTTTGAAGTTTACGTTACTTCATGTCAGTATCTGTTCCAAGTTCGTTCGAAATTTTTCAAACACACTTGGCTTTGTGAGTTTGTGCCGTTATGCTTCTTTACTTAATTAACTACGACATTTTCATTCAGCCAGGTACACCTACAAATTGTCGAATGCATAATAATAATGAGAATTGCAGCTATTTCGTTTCAGATATATTAATATATACTTAGAGAAATAATTGAAATAACTTTCTCCCCAGAATTTGGGCGTCCATTTTTTGTTCTGGGGCATGGTCTAAAAGCCTGGTTCCAACTTGTTCCAACAGACCTGTCGCGAGCTGTTTTTGTCAAGTCTGCAGCAAGCTTGTTATCAGACCTGCAACAAACCTGTCCACAACAAACAATTTTTGTCCTGTCACAACCAATTTCAACATGCAAGCCTGTTGTAATGGGAAACAAATCGAAAATGTGAGTAAAGAGAAAAATCGCACAAAATGGACACTTCCGGCTTCACTTTCTCATTCAATCATTGTCATCGGTGGCAATATTAAATCACATAGGTGAGACTATAGTCTATTCTCTGATTAAATGCAAAAGCCGCTGTTTTATTTTTAAAAAATAGTTCCGATTTCCAAAATCCAAATTCCAATTTACTGGCTGTTTTATTTTTAAAAAATAGTTCCGATTTCCAAAATCCAAATTCCAATTTACTAATGGATAAAGGCGTTGCACACATCGTCACTCCTCGTTGCAATTGGACGAAATATTACAAACGTCATATCAATCATGTAATTATGTTTAGTTGTTTTTGAATTTTGAGCCAAACAAAATTTCAACAACTGCCTCAAACAAAATCAAACAAGTTCAAAGCAGTTTTGATTTTTGAAGAAACTGTGGCAATGAGAACACAAGATCTATAGAGCTTAAGAAATGAGAAATACATGAACAGCCGAGTGTTCACTGCAACGTTCTTTATTGTTCATATGAATATGAAATTTTTTTATTTTAATATGAAATTCGTTATATAATTTCAAGTGAAATCTGTGAGCGAGAAAGACGCCTTATTGAAGCTTTGTGTTATTGTATGTACTATTTGGAAGAAAAATATGCAAGCCGGTTGTCATATTTCAGTTGTACTTAAAGACCAATTAATTTTGAAAATTGTTTACGATAAGAACCTTTCTTTAATTTGTCGTATTTTTTTGGCTGTTTTGCTCAAAAATTATCTCGCAAGTTTGTTTATGAGTGTTTATATGAATTCTTGTTATTTTACGAAACACTACAACCGAAATATGGCATTACCTGTTTGGCCGTTTTTTGTTGTTCAATATATAGTGCATGGATATACACGAAGCTTCATGAAGCGCTTTCCTCGGTTTGCAACAGGTCTGTCGCAAGTTGTTGAAAACAGCATTGCTGCAACTCTGTGTCAACAACTTGCGACAGGTCTGTTGAAAACAGCATTGCTGCAACTCTGTGTCAACAACTTGCGACAGGCCTGTTGAAAACAGCATTGCTGCAGCTCTGTCACAACAGCTTGTAACAGACCTGTTGAAAACAGCATTGCAGCAGCTCTGGCAGGCCGTTGCGGTCCTGTCAAACCAGACAGGTACAAGGCGAGCGAACGCATCCAGATGTCGACTTGTTGACAACAGGATTTAACGGATCCATTGCAGATCTGTTCCGATTTGCCATAAAATTTGGCTGTGTATGATTTTTCTTTTGACTTTATGCATTCTGAGCAATTCCAAAACCCAGCTATATGGAGAAAAAATTGTAATCATGATATAAACTGCCGGCGGTCGGCTTTTCCCGAATTAATTGGGATTAAAATAAAAATGTTTAATTTTCTGAACATGCAGGAATGCACAGCCAGAAATGCGCAAGTCGGAACAGATCTGCAACAGATCTGTTAAATCCTGTTGTCAACAAGCCGATATCTCGGGATGCGTTCGCTCACCTTATACCTGTCTGTTCTGACAGGTCCGCAACGGCCTGTCAACAGGTCTGTTAGAAGCTGTTCTGACAGAGCTGCAGCAATGCTGTTTTCAACAGGCCTGTCGCAAGTTGTTGACACAGAGCTGCAGCAATGCTGTTTTCAACAACTTAATTGCGACAGACCACTTAATTGCGACAGACCTGTTGCAAACTGAGGAAAGCACCTTATGAAGCTTGTGTATCCACTACTTTGAACAAAAACCGGCCAAACCGGTAATGCCATACTGATTTCGGTTGTAATGTTTCGTGAAATAGCCAGACTTTCATATGAACACTTATAAACAAACTTGCGAGATAATTTTTGAGCAAAACAGCCGGAAAAGATACGACAAATTCAAGAAAGGTTCTTATCGTAAACAATTTTCAAAATTAATTGGTCTTTAAGTACGACCGAAATATCACAACCTACTTGCATATTTTTCTTCAAACTAGTACATACAATCATATAAAGCTTCAATAATTGGCGTCTTCCTCGCTCGCATATTTCACTTGAAATTGGAAAGAAATTATATAACGAATTTCATATTCATATGAGCAATGAAGGACGTTGCAGTGAACACTCGGTTGCTCATGTATTTTTCATTTCTTAAGCTCTAGATCTTGTATTCTCATTGCCACAGTTTCTTCAAAAATCAAAACAGCCTTGAATTTGTTTGATTTTGTTTGAGGCAGTTGTTGAAATTTTGTTTGGCTCAAAATTCAAAAACAACTAAACATGATTGATACTGTATGTTTTATAATATTTCGTACAATTGCAACGAGGAATGATGACGTGTGCACACGCCTTTATCCAATCAGATTAAAGAAATATAGCGATGGCACACGTCAAAAAATTGGAATTTGGATTTTGGAAATCGTAATTATTTTTAAAAATAAAACAACGGCTTTTGCATTGAATCAGAGAATAGATACTATAGACCATAGTCTCTGCTATGTGATTTAATATTGCCACCAATGACAATGATTGAATGAGAAAGTGAAGCCGGAAACAGGGGCGGCGAAAAGTCGAAAACTGGGGGGGGGCTGATATTCATATATTCATGTTCTGCATCATTTATTTCCTTTGAAAGCGATTGTTTTTACAGTCTTTGAACACGAATATATGAATATCAGCCCCCCCCCCCCAATTATCGACTTTGGAAGTGTCCATTTTGTGCGATTTTTGTCTTTACTCACATTTTCGATTTTTTCCCAACAACAGGCTTGTTGAAAATTGTTGTGACATTGATTGTTTGTTGTGGACAGGTTTGTCGCAGGCAGGGGTGGAAAAAAGATTTTACTTTCTGTAAATAATCAAGTAAATCGACACTTGCATGGACACTGTAATTGTGTAACACTAACAAGTTGTCAAACTGGATGTCATGCTATATATATTTCACAGGAAAAAATATTTCACTGGAAATAATATTTCACTAAGAATCTTAAAATATAACATAAATCTAATTCTAGATGACATGCATCAAGGGTCTGATCCTAAGGGTAAATACAGATGCCAAAAAAGCTAGGGCACTTTTAGGGGACACTATCAGGGAGATCATGGATGCTCCCCCAGAAAATTTTGTCCCAGATCAGCTAAAAATGCATTTGCCATACAACATTTTTTACACCATTCTGTAGTCTAATACATTTATACACTATCGCACTATTAAGATGGTTACACTTATAATTGCATTTTTGAGGTCATGGTGTGAATTTTCCTCTGTATTTCTCTTTCTATTAGAATTATTACAATTTTTCTTTCTTGGGAAAATATTTTCTGGGAACTTAAAAAATTTTCTGGGACCAATGGTCCTGTGGTCCGATACTTTTTCCACCCCTGATCGCAGGTCTGATAACAAGCTTGCTGCAGACTTGACAAAAACAACTCGCGACAGGTCTGTTGGAACAGACCTGTTGATTTCAACAGACTTGCCGCAAGTTGTTCTATCAGACCTGTTAATATCTCTTGTTAGTAACAGGTTTGTAGTAGGTTGTTTCAACAAGTCGCTACGGCTCTGTTGTCAACAGCTTGCGGAAGACCTGTCCCCGCAAGCCTGTTACCGCCTGACGAAACCAACAGACCTGTCGCGACTTGTTGACAACTTGCCGCAAGCCGGTAAAATCAACAGCTTGCAACAGGCCTGTGAGATTTCTGGCTGTGTAGTGTAAAGTAATTAGGGAACTGACTTTTAGGGGTGCACCGGAACTTGGTTCTGGCCTGTTAGTTCCGGCCGGAACCCCGATGTTTTAGAGTTCCGGTTCCGGCCGGAACTAGTAAAAAAAGCATGGCCGGAACTGGACCTTGGTCGTTTTCAGAGAGATGGAATATCAAACGTTTTTGTGTCTAACAAAAGGTCACAGTAGGAAGAAATTTGGACTACGCAAGGGAAATGGACACTACTAACACAGTAACACTTCATTACGACGTTTAACGCTTGTCAATCTTTTTATTCTAACATTTGCGAGCTCTCTCCTTGATGACTTGAAGTGTCTGCATGTCTGGCAGCGGACAAAATAACATATGACTATATATGGCTTAATAAATTAGTGCCGGAAGTTCCGGTCGGATCCGGCTCTGGCTGGAGCTTAAAAAACTGGTTCCAGTGCACCCCCACTGACTTTCACTGTTGTTTAAGGATAGTGACAGGGGGCGGGGGCAGAAGGCAACTGCATCAATTTTAATTTAGGATATTACATAGTTGATCATTCTAATAGTTATTGACTGCTAATATAGTTTACTGATTTTGCAGGACCAGGTTCAAATTGAAGATGAGCTTGAACCTGAGAAGGAAGCCACACTAGACTCTGCAGTTTCTTCACCAGCACCTGCACCATTTTTTAAGTTGAATAATGAAAAATGCAAAAGGACATTTTTTACCAATTATAAGCTTCTGGAGAAGGTATATATTGCATGAATAACTATAAATTGCTATCAGACCGACATCGTGAGACTGCCAAGAAGTACTACTAGTTTGATTTCAGACCAAATTTTTTTCATAGAGTTTTGATGTGGTTATGTGCTTTTAAATTAAACATACAAAATTTGCCTTGTTTTGCTTGTTCCTAGGTTTTCTAGCATTGCAATTCCTTAGTATTTTCCCTTTTCACCCCCCCCCCCCCCCCCCCCAATTTGTTGTTTGATTGAAAAATATTAATGCAGTGAGGCTGACAAAGATTTTGCTCTTACTAATTATCTATGTTGATATTTTCATTAGTTTTCACCAAGTGTTACTCAAGCACTGGAAAGTAAATGTTTCACCGGACCACAACGAAGTGAATTTATTAGAGATATTTGCACAAATATTATCTCCCATGGGATATACTATCTAAACAAGAACGAAAGAAGTCAAGTTGCTTTGGAAATTGTGACTACGTTTCCGCACTTGAAAGATCCTATTGGTAGTGGCTTGGTAAGATTGTTGGCAATTAACTTTTCAGCACAATAAATAAATCTGAATATAAAAACAAATAGATAGAATTTTTATTTACGGCGTCAGCTATTTACATGTTTTTAAACCATGGTGCAGAAACAAAGTAGGAGTCAAATCCTCCCTAAGTTACAACGGTATTAACCAATTAGCCTTTTCCCAATCGAGTAGGGTACTGGATCTAGTCCTGCAACAAAGGATTCCGATAACGAGTTAAACAAATATATTTTGTAGTGAAGTCCATTTTCAACCATTTTAGATTTGTTTTTTTCTTCAAATTTGTAATTTTATCCCTCCAAACAATCCATAGATGCATTGCAGGTCACGACTAGACCCAGTACTTTGCTCGTTTGGGAAAAGGCTAATAACAAGGCTTAAATACTGTATATATTGCGTTAAAAATGGCATTGAACGAATGTCATGTGTGTGTGTAGCCATATTGCTTGCAAGCAATATGGCTACACACACACATGACATTCGTTCAATGCACTGTAAGCAAAATACTCCCTGTGTAGTGATAATTTTGAGAGGTTTTTATATGATATATTGCATGCTATCGCAAACGGAGGTTTTTATATGATATATTGCTATCGCAACCGTACCGTATCCCTATAGCCATTCAGCGACGGGCTTATATAATTCAGCCAATTTAAGCCAATCAGCGATCAGTTTACATCAATTGTTTACATCGTGCACGCATCTAACCTGCGAACGGGCACACTTTAGCCTCGTGTGACTGTGTTATTTTTTCAAAAATATCTTGATATTTTTATCAATTTATCTTGAATTGGCTGTCTTGTTTTCTCTACTTGTGATATTATTCCGAAGTTATTTATCAACATGGAAACTTATCCTCATCTGGTAAGTAGTCAAATACCATATATTATAGATGTAGTGTTGGATGTTAAAGATGTTATCAGTTTACAATACTTATACATTTTGGTTTTACACATTTAACAGAGTTTATAATTTAAAAAAATTTTTGCAAACATTTTCAAATGCTAATAAAAGAATCCCCACCCTCCCTCCTTTAATATTACATTGTTATTTTGCTTTCTAACATAAATGTTTTTGTCTAGAGATTAATGCAAGAATGATGAATAAATGTACTGGATATTGGCTAGATAATTTTGTCAGAGCAACCCACTTGCAAGACAATCTTACCTAAATTCATAAGTATCAATGGTATGGATACTGTAATAGCTTAACAGCTACAATAATCATATATTATATGGATGGTCAGATCAATGGCACACAATATGTACAAAACTGAACTTGTGATACCTTCTACTCAAACCGATATTCTCCCACAACACAAATTGTTTTTGTGTGGATATGTTGTGTTAAACCGAACAGTGTGGTAGGGCCTATATCATTAACTGTGCACAGGATTGGAATTTAATTATATACTTCATTCATGACCTTTTACATTCAGTGGTCTTCGATATATGATGGACTCTTTGTTACAGTATTAATGCATGTTCCTCGAATAGTTTGTGTATGTTACTCAACAGTTAACGTTGGCAAGTGTAAACAATAAGTGACAGAACTTTTGCTTCATGTGACTACAATAAAGTTCTCAAAATGGGTATGGATTGACAAGTTGTCGTTTACTAAATAGACACTGCGAATATTGTTTGCATGAAATTTTTATTTTTTGACTGCATAATTATCCGAGTTACAATCATAATCACATAAAATTAGTTAAATTTTCTCAGAAGAGGGAGAAGTCGAGGTTCCCCTGCTGCCCTCTGTGCTGTCTACAGCCTAGTTAGATTTGTACTATGTTTGACTTTAAAACCTTATTTGCTATTATATTTATTATAATAAGTGTTGAAAATGTTAATCAAGTTTTTTCGCAGATACATGTACGCGTAGCGTACCTATTTTTGGAATAATTTCTCAAAATTTTGCAACATGCACACAGGGAGTTTTTGCCAGTGGATTTTGCTTACACCAATAGTCATTGTTGTCAGCTCATGTTTAGCTCTCAATGAGCAGTCTTTATAAAGTTCGACTTCTTTACATTTTTCTATAACGTCTTCGTTTATACTTTATTAATTCATGAATAGAAAGATCTGATGTGTTCTTTTTTAACATCAAGGGATCTTGGACAGAAAGCATCAAAAATCGATTTAAACATGTAAGGAAGTATGAGAGCAAGAAAAGATCCATGGTACAATCTGCTGATGATAATAAACCAAGTACATGTGCGCCAAAACCTGTTCTGAAGCGCCAGAGAAAAGCAGATATCTGGATGAAATACCAAATTCCGAAAACACCACCGAAGCCATTCAAAAAGAGCACATATCTGAGCTACATAAAGAAACACAAAAGTCTGCCAACAGTCAAGACAAAAACAAAGTCAAAACTTTAATGGCATCAACTTTTCAACTGAGAAGAAAAGAGATACTTACTACATTGACCCCTGTCAGCAAAATTATAGAAACATACCCACCTCTTGCCACAATAAGCGGGGTAAGTTATTCAATTTGGCCTCAATGTTGCATTATGGTGCAAACAGTTTTCAGAGCCGAAACTAGAGCGTTAATTGTGTGTGGGGGGGGGGGGGTTGTATATTCATATAGCTGTGTTCTTCCTGACGAATTTGTTTTGAAATCGGTTGTTTTTAAGTTCATTTCAAAAGAAATTAGTCGGGCAGAACACAAATATATGAATATACCAACGCCGCACCCCCCAATTAGCGCTCTAGTTACGCCCACTGAAAGTTTTGTATTTTTATTGTAACATATCCACATTCTTTGTCGAGTGATCAAGCAAATTTTTAGGTTAAGATTGCATAATTGATTATATTGGTAAAAATATGAATGCGCTCTGGCGAGTATGTGGAAAAATTAATGGTGCACTACTACGTATATTTTTTTTGGGAATATGTTAGCATAATGTTAGATATAACAGATTGTGTGCTGCAGAAAATCACTAACATATTGAAAAATTAATTTCACTTTTGCTATGCACATGTAGATACGTCATGAATTTAGCAGAATTTTTGAGGACAATGCTGCAACTAAAGAAATGAAGGATAAATTGTTCTCTCTCCAAAGTGCGATTGTGAAATACTGCGAAAACGTTCAACGGAAGAACCCATTCATTAAAAATGTATTACATGATCTTCAACGGGCAATTTCCCAGGAGCCAGAAAAGACTCAAGGTATGTTTATATACGCTATATTGATTAGCAAATTGCTCAAGTAAATTGTAACCGAGTCGAGAAATTACATTTATAAATTACAGAATAATCGGAATGGAATAAACTTCCCTGCAGGTGATTTTGATTCATCGTGCATGCATGGCATAGGTTGCAAAGCAACAATGTTCTTAATATACCATTGTATACGGTATACATATGTATGACACTGACTTTCTGTTTTATAGCATATGAAAATACATTTGCGTTGATGGTTCTTCCTAAATTACTAGAGAAAAAAACGGGAAAGCAAGATTATGAATTAATCAAATTATTGTCGGTTAGTATACCGTTTTGCCTTTGGTGTATATGGTGTATTGAGCTAGGGTCTGCATGATTACAGTCATTACAGTGACGAGAAAACCTCACAATCCATGTCATTTTTATCGATTCTTGGATTACTGGTACCTGTTTACATACTAACTGAATGAACAAGTAGGTACGGTATAATATAAGAGTCGTCAACGTCATCCCTGCATGTTCCAAAAACTGCGTGTTGTGTAAACTTACAGCATTTTTATTTGAAAAACTAACGCATATAATTGTATTCTCTTAACTATACTATAGGAAGATGATGATTTTGATGAGGAAGTTGGACAAACAAAATTTCCTACCATTATAGGAGTAACAAGAGCGTCGTAAAAATTGATCGTTTAGCCCTTGCCATCGAAGGGCAGACACTCTTGGATGGATCAAGTTTTCCCTTCGAAAGCGTCTTTTTCGCAATGCATCAATGTTACTACGTGTTCAATATGGAATACCCAAAAGAATACAAAAACCTTTTTGGTTTTATAGACAATGTTCTACTTGGTTTAAGCGCAGGATGCTCGTCAACGGCGAATAGGATCACTTTACAAAATTTTGTGCAAAAACTAAATAGTTTAGCAACTGTATAGATTGTTAAGTTCCACGCGTTCATATTCTCACCTAGATTGCGGTTTGATATTGAAAACAGTTACTGTTACTAGTTAAGTATTTTTACCTTGTGTACATAACTAAATTTATTTATTTATTTTGTTAATATATGTATGCTGTGTTTTTTAATTCTAATACACCCAAATGTGAAAAATATTTCACCCCAAATTGGGGTATAACTTGTAGACAACAAATACCGTCTTAAAATGGGGTAATTTTTACCCCATTTCGAATTACCCACCAGGGGTAATTTTTACCCCTTTAAGATTTTCCCTAAAAAAACGGGGCGTTCTGTGGACATTTAGTTATCCTCGTTTTTCGGAGTAATTTTTACCCCATTTACGAATTACCCACCCGGGGTAATTTTTACTCCTTTAAGATTTTCCCTCAAAAAACGGGGCGTTCTGTGGACATTTAGTTACCCTCGTTTTTCGGAGTAATTTTTACTCCTCAAAATTTTCTGTGTATTTCCGGTTTTTCCTAAACAGCGCGTTGTTTTGATATGCGTTCCATGGGCCGCGCTAAAAATATAAATATTCTGTAAATACCGAAATAAAAGATGAAAATCTCAAGACACAAGCTTGAAAATAACACTATAAATAGTGTTTTCGATTCTGGTTCCAATAATATTATTACGAAGAAGATATGTCCAAAGGGGCCGACGTTATGTTCGGCAAAATGTATGGCTAGTTTACATTGTTTGTTATATTATGAAATATGATACCATACTTGTATTAAAATTCGCGTCGAACTAATGTTATTGTATTAGGCAAATGAGTAGACTTGCCACAAGTCGACCTCGAGCGAAATGCGTTTCTTCGAGGTCGACTTGTGGCAAGTCTAGCAAATGAGAACCATACAATAATGGTTCTAGTTCTTGTTGCTATTTTGAACGCACGCTTTATCTTTACTATAGCTACCACAAAGCTTTTCGCGCAGATTATATTTCGCGCAGTACTAAAATTTCCCGGCACCAGCGGGCAGCGCTGCGCGAATTCCATTTATAATTTATAATTTATTTTAGAACTGATTTTGTAACCAATAGGTTAAATTACATCAGAAATTTACAAAGTTTGTATCTACTGTTAAAAAGTATTAAGTTATCGTTATATTACATTATTAAGAATATTAAGAGCTCAAAAGTAGCAAAAAACAATAGGCCTATACTTCTACTCAGTTATTTACTGTTTTCTTTGGAAATAATTTGTGAGGAAAAAACGATTTCCTAAAACGTTCAGTTCTACATAGATAATTGTTATACTTGCATCTTGGTCGCATATCGTAGTCTGCTGTTGCTTTATGATGCAATAGTTCGCTTAGTGTATCGTTATTCTCATTCTTTTTAAAAAATTGTTCACATAATGTTTCTCTCCTTGCTTTTAGTAAAGGGATACCAGTAAAATTCCGGGCTTCTCTGTTAACTCATTAATCAGTGGCAACGAGATTCGCAAAGCACGCCGCTGAATCTTTT